GACTGACATGACAGTTGGCCAACTCCACAAGACAAAACCACAGGAAATGACAGTGATTATACATGTAGCTATTTGAGGAGAGCAGGCCATGAGCAAAGAGAGAAGACCATGACTGACTTAGAAAATGAGCCCGTGTGGAGCTGAGTAAAATCTGCTGCTCAAGAGTTTTTACTAAGAAGTTTAAAGTCTGAATAGCCAGCCTCGGGCTGCTCTAGAATGCCTATATTTGCAAAGTGTCACCTAGCATCTGGAGTGACACTGACTCCAGGTCACCTGCTTTCTTTGAGGAGTGTATAGGAGTTGGCCTAGTGTCTGCATGCTGCGGTGTCACCTGTACGCGTTAGTGTGTTAAGACGGGGGAAGGATCCCTCTGTCAGGGCTAGCCTCAGTAGAGATGGGAAGTACTGTGAGACGCCCTTGGAGAGATCAAAGCTCTGTCCTCCAGGGCTTCTCCCCTGATTAAACAGCACAGATGCTTTGTAATCAGCAGCAGTGTGTGTATGAATGCTTTTAACTGAATTGAAGTTCTGAACTTGTCAGATTTTAGAAGATGTTGACTTTTCAGGACTGAGGAAGCCTTCTTGGCCTTTTGTGTGGTTTACTGCCAACTGGCTTGTTTTCATTTGAATTGTGCAACCCAGAGTTCTTCATAGTTACCCTAGACAGAGATGCCCACGTAGCTGATTTTTACAGGTTGGTTTCTCCAGTCACATGTCCTCACCATTAGTATTATAACAATCATTAGTTGCGAGTCACAGGACTGATACTGATGAAGTTCAGTGGCTTAGTTGTTATGAGTACAGAGGAAGTGTCCTACAGGCATTTTTTTTTTCTGAACCTATAGCTGGCTTGCAATGTCTTCTTATACTCACCTTCCAGACACTTCTAAGAATATGTTGAGTACTGTTATTTTAAGTTTGAGGAATTGGATAGGATAGTGTAGCTGTCAAACTAGGAGTGGTAAGGTAGTTTAAAGTCAGTAGGTATCGGTCAGTTTACCATGTTCAGCATTAGTAGTGTGTACCAACTTCTACTCCATTCCCAAATGTCGTAGAAGTTCTAGAGAAACTTATCTCCACACTAGTAGAGGGATGGAATAGTTGTCTAGAGAACATTGATGGCATTAGTTGTTTACTTTGTTTCTGTGTATGAGTGGGGGTGATTATATGCCGTGTGTGTATTATAAAACTGGAGGCCAGAAGACGGCATCAGGTCCTCTGGGGTGGTAAATTTGTGGAATGACTGAAAGTGATGAGCAGCTGGAAGAGGAATAAAATGTAGAACGAAGGAAAAACTGAGAAAAGAAGTAGGAGAGAAGAATAGGGTAGAAGCCAGGGGTGGAGCAAGAGAAGAAAAGTAAGAAAGGAGAAAGAGAAGACTGAGCTTTGTCATCTATCACCAGTCAAATGTGCATGTGTTCATGTGTGCATTGGTGTACATGTGCCTGTGTGTGTGTGTGTGTGTGTGTGTGTGTGTGTGTGTGTGTGTAGAGATACGTGGGTATGTGTGTTGTGTGTAAGTGAGCATCCATACACACACATAATGCAACGTTCCAAGAAAAACCTTCAACATTTGACGCTTCAATATTATTTAAATGTTTGTACTGATTACACAAGAAGCCACACCTGTCCCTACCCCCCCCCCCCCCCCCCCCCTCTCTCTTGCTCTGCAACCTCACAGTTCTTTGTTTTTGAACTCTTTAGTGTGGACCTGACCTCTTGAGGATCATCACTGAGATTTTAATTAGATCAGGCTTTTCTTTCATGTGAATTAGGTCATACTGATTCTTCAGTTTGATGTCGATAATGTAAAATCGGAATATTCCCTGTATTTTTTTGTGTGTTTAGGCAAATCTGATTGAAGGAAAGTAGGACTGTCGTGTTTCTGGGTGTTTCTGGGAACTTCTCTCTCGTCAACACAACAATTGTTGGGGAGTGGGATGAAAACCCTGTACTTAAGCAACAGCTGTCCACTATCATCCTGTGGTTATCTCAGTGTCATCCCTGGAGAACTTACCTAGGCTTTTTCCTCATAGTTATATACAGTAAGGTATAAAAATAGTTTATAGTTTCATAAATACCCATTTAAGTTTGTAAACTTTGGAGATTCACAGAAAATAAATGAGCAGATCACTGCTTCTTTCCCTCAAAGGGTTTAAATTAAAAGCACAACCCATGTCATCACCATTTTTCCTCACAGCTAAGCCTTTTCTTAGAGTAGGAGTAAAGGGAAATTGTTGGAGAAGAGTTTGTCAACCATTTTCTGCATTGGTAAGATTGTCTTCCTCCTCTTGGGGTCATTTTGGGCATTTATTATCCATCACATTAACATCTCCATATTAAGACAGTCAGCTCTGTTAGCTGGGTGTCATGACATGCATCTGTAATCCCAGAACCTTGCTTTAGAAGCAGGACTGGGAGTTCAAGGTCAGCCTCAGTTACACAGCAAGTTTGAGGCCAGTATGTGCTGTCTCAAAAGAACAGACAAAACAAATTCCAGAGTAAACAAATCAGAAAAGTTAGTTGAATGAAGACATGAATTGCCCCTTTAAATGCCCTGTTTTGTTATTTATAAAAGTTGTGTCTGGTGCAGTTCTTTAGCTCCAAAGACAGGAATGAGGAGGAAACAACCCTTCTGCCCACCTCTTGGTCCCTTTCCCTCTCTTCCCCACAATCTTGGGCACTAAGAGAGCAACACTGTTATGTGAGATTGCCTCTACAATAATTCTACTCCTTCTCCCTGAACGCCAACTGCTTGCTGAAGAACAATATAGAAAGAACAATTGTTCTTCCTTGCAATAGATACTATTTGTGTTCTTAGCTGGGATCTTGCTGTCATAGCCACAATAACTGTGCCATTGTGCAGGGAAGCTGGGTCACTGTAGTTATTGTGCAGAATAACGAATGCTGTTTACTTGTGATAAGTTGTCCCCCGCATCTGTGGGTGAGAACACAAAGTCATTGTAATTTGCCTGGCAAGCGATCATACTCACATAAAATACCATTGTCTGTTAAGCAAGTTAGCTGTCAAAGAACTATTGACTTCGCTTCTTCAATATAGAATTTGTAATGACACAAACCCAGTAAAAGAGATTGAAGATGTAAGAACGGCTACCTAGTGTGTGTGCCGCCTATTCACTGCACTTTTGCTGTATATTAGGGGTCAAGTCAAACCAAGGTACTTAGGGTCCGTGTGTAGCCTGGCTCAGAGTGAGAACTGCTGAAGCAGACACTCAGGTTGAATAAGGGACACACAGGTCCCCTGTCAGTTAGGAACAAGAACTCATGGCACCGTCTCTCAGGCAACCCAAGGATTCTGAATGTTATTGGGAACATAGTTGCTTTGCTGGCTTCATTTTTTAAAAACTATCCAGGAAATAAATACATAATTGAAGTAGTACACATATGTAAAGACTCTGGGCTGAAGAAAGAAGAAACCGTCTGCTCTAATAAATGACATTGATGGGATTTTCAAGGATCTGCAGAGTCCTGGTTTTAGAGCTCACTGTTTGCTTGATTGTCCCCATCCACTGTTCCTCCCATCCCAGGGCCAATCTGAGTGCTTTTCAGGGGCGGGTAGGTGGGCGCTCATTGGTGCCCACCTGAGGAAGGTCCCAGGAATGCTTTTCAAAGTTTCTTTACACTTTGTCAGATGTTTAGACTAATTGTCTTTCTCCCTCCTGCTTGCTGTGTCTATGTGATTGCCTTTGGGAAAAGTCCAGTTTGACAACCTTAGTGGTTTGCCTGCTGTGAAGACTCGGGGAATGTTTGTGATTCACTAAAGCTTTTATCATGTAGAGTCTTTTTGGTGAACTTACAATTAATGAGGAGGTGGTGGTTTTGAGGGAAAGGAATCGATTAGGATATGAGCTAAGTGAAGACTTAGGTTACATGTTGACTGTAGGTACAATTCCTTTATGCTTTCTCAGGTTCACACCAGAACAGTATTAAGATATTCATCTGTTAGTCTGCCTTTAAAAATCACACACACAATATTTGTTGTCTGCCGAAAATCTGCAGATTCTTATAAAAGAAAAGCAATCACTGGCAGTTTCTACCACAGCTTTCCACAGCTTGTGCGACACTTCACCCAAAGCTTGTCTAAAACCCAAGGCCTTGCAAACATAAGAGGCCTCATGAGTTTGTCTTGCAGTCCAAATCCAAAATTCTATTTATATAAAATTAAAAATAGATTTATTGGATTTCTTTGAGTTTTTTCTGTATGTGTGTATGTGTTTCATGTACATGCCCTGGTGCTCATGGGAGTCAGTTTCCCGAGAACTGGAGTTATGAATGGCTGTGAGCCACCGTGGGGGTGCTGGAAACACAGGGTCTCTGCAACAGCAACAGGTGCTCTTAACTGCTGAGCCATCTCTCCAGGCACTGCTAGATGAAAATTTTTGATCAATATGTTCTTAAATTACCTGCACTGGAAGTGAACAAAACATTCTTTTTTTGGGGGGCTCTACATGGTCAATATTAAGAACATATCCCCAGATTTCTAATATATATAATATATTTCTAATATATATAAACGTCAAGTTTATTATTCTTGTTTGTAATCTTTTGGTATTTTATGTGATCACAAAACACTTAGTTTTTCAGAAATGGAAAATACTTCTAATGCAGAAATTCAAATTTTCCCTCTTATACTGGCATATTGGCTTTAATCAGAGTGAGGCAGATTTGCTGTTTCTCAGGGGTTGTGTGAATGGGGCCTCACTCATACATGACCCAGTTTTCCACATTTTTCCTTAGACAAATGGAAGCCAGTTAACGTATGAAAAGTTGCTTTGTTTTCCTTCCTTAAAAGTCTTCTTTTGTCGCTCTGACGAACCAGCGCCTGCCTGTGTAGAGCTAACTGCTGCTGTGTTTGCTTCTGTGACAGCGAGCCGATGGAGGAGCCTCTTCTCTTCACCTGCCTCCCTGGCTTTCCCCTATAGTCCTGTTGCAAGACTCAGCCCTTATAGCAATGGCATTAGCACTCCCAGCTCTAAAACCTCCAACAAAGCAATACTAACACCTGAGAGAACAGGTAATATTTCAACTTCCTCACCGGCTGCTTGCTTTGCTTACTTAGTCATGAAACACTACTCATGTCATCTGCCGTGGGGATCTGAGGGTGACCTAGTGTCATGGAGTATACTCTGGGGAGAAAGCATGTGATTCATGTCCTCATCTACTGCTTGCTCTCAGCTGTGCTCGGTAGACCATCTGCCCGCTTTAGCAAATGCCTGACATGGATGGGGTGTGTGTGAGCACAGTTTAGGTAGTTCTTTACAGATTCCAAAGTCACATGACTCTGTCACTTTCTAAACAGTTTGTGTTTTCTGCTAGCTTTTTAAATCCAGGCTTCAGGACGAGGAATGTTTCTATTGGATTTTCACAAGATTAGTCTCACCGTTGCCTATCTTGTCTCAGCATTGGCGTGAATCCTTCCCCAACACTCTTTCATCTGGCTCTTTTCTTCTTGGTTCATTTATCTTTTGATTGTTTTTCACTGGCTTTCAGCAGGAGTCCCATGGTTACCCGCTGCTCTAAATTAGGCAGTGTGTATGTTTTTACATGAATGCATCTCTTATGCATGATGTTTTCCATTTATGACACTACTGTGTCTACCCACTAAAGATGGACTAGGTTAAATTTAATCGTGAAGTATATAATCAGTTATTTCCAGATGCATATTCATCTGCTCTAAGTGGCCTAACTTCATTTAAAAAAATGTATATAACAGATTACATATATATATATATATATGTAATATATATATATATATATATATATATATATATACTCATATATATATATATATACACACACACACATATACTCAAACACCACACCCTTTGATTTGGGAATTTGTACTGTCTACTAAAAAGTTAACAGAGTGATTATGCTTTTATTCCACAAGTTTGATTAAAAAACAATAGTAAATAAATTATACTTCAGAATTACGAACATGTAAAGATGTATTTGTCAAGTGGCACCATGTCGGTCTTTTTGTGACATCATGTGAACAAGAAAACGCCACTTGTATATGAATTATAACACAAAGATACTTACTGTTTCTCTAAATAACATGTTTCCTCTGTGTTTTAGGTTACGTCTCCAGGGGCTCCCCCCTTAGTCCCCAGTCGTCCATTGACAGTGAGTTGAGTACTTCAGAGTTGGAAGACGATTCTATATCCATGGGATATAAGTTACAGGACCTCACTGATGTTCAGATCATGGCTCGTCTGCAAGAAGAGAGTATGTTCTTTTTAATCAGGGGACATGAGGCTTCCACTTGGACTATACGGTGATGGGTGGGGCCGGGCATTTTTCCCAGAGTGTGGCAGACAACTGGATTCTTTCTGTATCGTCTTCCTTTGTAGATGGAAGATTTACATGTTCAAGTGCTGAAGAGCATCGTAGGTGTTAGGCGTACTCTCAGCATCACGCTGCTCTGTGGAGAACATTTCTCTCATAGCAGTAGAAATGTGTGTTCACATAAAAATCCATACACATGCATTCTTAGCATCTACATTTGCAATTGTCTCTTATGAGTTATTTTCCCTTGTTGTAGTAAAGCACCATGACCACAGGCAACTTAAGGGAATGAGAATTAATTTTTGCCTGAGGGACAAGAGTCCATCCTGGCCTGGTGGAGGCTTGGCAGCAGGCACAGTGGCAGGAGAAGGAAGCCTAGCAATCACATCTTTAACAGGAAACTGGAAGCAGGCCATGTCTATGAACTCTGAGGTCTGCCTCTAATGAAGTACTTCCTCTCCAGTTGGGCTTACAGCTCTTAAATGTCCCAGACAGAGCCCCCAACTAGTGACCAAGTGTTGAAATGCCCGAGCCTGTGGAGGACATTTCTCCTTCATCCCACCAGACTCTAACTGGAATGTGTTTAGCTGCCCTTTAGCAGTGAATGGTTAAGTGTGGGGTGTCCATGCCCTGGACTACTTAACAGACAGGAACAAGCTGTTGATCGGGCATCTTGGGTGGGCTCCAGGGAATCTTGAAAGTGAAAGCAAGGTGATCAAGAGAGATGGCACACAGTGCGATTCCATCTGTGTAGTGTTTTGAAATGACAGAACTTGAGAAATGTAGGGCATTGGTGCATGGGGTGGGGCTGCAGGTCCTGGAAAGGAGAGGGTGGTAGACGTGCTTCTCAAAGGGTAACACAAAGGATTTTCACGGTATACAACTGCTCAGTATTTTGGATGGCATAAAAGCGGGTAGCTAGGAAATTTATAAGAAACTTAATATTAACCTGTGCATATATAAGTAAATGAAAAATCTGGATAAAATGGGTAGACTATATCACTGTTGATACCTTATTATGCTAGTCCATAAATTTGCAAAACTGTTGGAAGCTGGGTAAAGTGCTAGCATTATTTCCTAGGGCTTTGTGGGCCTACAGTAATCAAAAAAAAAAAAAAATCAGTCAAAATGCATTAATATGCTCCAGGAAAAGTAACTGTGGGACACTACCGGGAATGGAGCACTTTATCAGGTATCTCAAAGGCATTGGTACTGTATAGCAAGGGCACGATAAGATGCCACAGAACCCGGCAAAGCTTGCTCTCCAGTTACCTTTTCAGGCCAGTATAGTGGAAATAAACACACCAGTTTCCTGTTTTTATAATTAGTCAAGAATACTATGAAAAATGTGGTGATACTTATGGAGGCTTTAGTAAGATATGTATTGAAGAGCAGAGGGATTGTTTTGTGCCATTAATGGTAAATTTATGTGCTTAGTCTAAAGTGTGGAAAAAGATTGGATGTCAGTTTCAGATATGAAGCAACCCTGAAGAGATAGACAATACTAAGTAGTGAAAAAGTTGAGTTTGACTATCTTTGGGGTGGTTGCTATTTAGGATGATAGAAAACTACTAAAACATTAAAACATCACCATGCTATAAAGGAAATACTAGCTAATAACATAAAATAGAGAAACAATGACCTTGCTAGAAAATATTTGCACCTCAGGTTTTAAACTTTCTTCTTGGCCCAGCCATTGGTAGAGTGACCAGGTTTCTTACTCTCAGGGGTTGGGTTTTTGTTCTAATCACAAAAAACTATAATTACAATGAATATTTCTTCCTAAACTCTGTTTTTCTATTTCCAAACTTGAAAAGGGATAATTTGGAGAATTTTGTGGGTAATGATGTCTGCAGTCATGACAGGTGTGTCTGACCTTCACTGGGGTGGGGATGTATTTTTTTCAATGTTGACTGACCTAACATTACATATGTGTTTGGCAGGTAAATTTATATTTTCATTTGTGCTGGGACAGGATTTAATAACCTGAAACAAAATGTCATGTCCTTGTTTGAATGACTTATTGTCATTTTCAAATAACAATATGAATTGTAGTGTAATGCCAGTTACCTACACTTTCTCATAAGTACTGTTGTCTCAATAGGTCTCAGGCAAGACTATGCTTCCACCTCAGCATCCGTGTCCAGACACAGTTCCAGTGTATCACTGAGTTCAGGAAAAAAAGGGACATGTAGTGATCAAGAATATGATCGGTACAGCCTGGAGGACGAGGAAGAATTTGACCATTTGCCACCACCTCAGCCTCGTCTTCCGAGGTGTCCGCCTTTCCAAAGAGGAATTCCCCACTCACAGACTTTCTCCAGCATTCGGGATTGTAGGAGGAGCCCCAGTTCCCAGTATTTCCCTTCAAATAATTTCCAGCAGCCGCAGTATTATTCACCTCAAGCCCAAACTCCAGATCAGCAACCAAATAGGACCAATGGAGGTAGGTTATGTTTTACAGCCAACAAATTGTTGGCAGATGTTTCTCAGATCTAAGTTCACCCCTATAAGTGTGGCCTCCATTTCCATCTAAAACTGTCTTCTAGCTGTGTTGCAACTTTATGGATTTCTGACTTCAGGAAAACAACCATGATCCCACCTCACAATCACATTGAGGTGGGGACATCTTTTTGTGTATTTGTGTGTATACTGCCCGTGTGAGGGCGTGTGTGTGTGTGTGTGTGTGTGTGTGTGTGTGTGTGTGTGTGTGTCTGTGTGTGTGTTTGTGTGTGTGTGTGTCTGTGTGTGTGTGTCTGTGTGTGTGTGTGTCTGTGTGTGTGTGTGTCTGTGTGTGTGTGTGTCTGTGTCTGTGTGCTGAGGCTAGAGGTCAATGGCTGTTTGCTTACTTAATTATTCTCCACCTTATTTCCTGAGACCAGATACCTCACTGTATCTGGAGCTTGCTAATGGCTCTACTGGCTGGCTGACAAGTCATGTATGTGTCATGTGTGCGTCTGCCTGCTTTCCCAGAGCTGAGATTATAGAAATTCTTTATTTGGGAACTGGGGGATCTAAACTCAGGTCCTGATGCTTGCGTGGCATGCCTTTTACTGAGCGAATGTGGAGATCTGCTGTAGGGTGGCAGCATTGTGCAGCCCGAGGCCTTCATGGCTCCATGTAGTTGAAGACCTCGTGTTGCATTTCCAACAGCAATAGCCCCTCACTGTGGATTTCGAGCTTGGAGTGATAATAAGTGTTGACAGAAGCTTTGGGATGCTGCTGCTCTTGCACACTTGGATGCAGGGGGGTCTGTGAAGCTTCAGATTCCTTACTTTAATATCCGTGAAGCAGTCAGGCTGGGGAGACGGCTATGTGGCATGTTAGTGAAACGTTCATCTGTAATGTCAGTGTGATGGGGTAAATTCTTTCATATTGTTCTCTTCCTCATATTCTGAGGAATTACACTCTGTGACTACCAAAAACTACAGAGAGAACAGCCATGTAATAACCCAAGGCTGGTGTGTGTGTGTGTGTGTGTGTGTGTGTGTGTGTGTATTTATGATCAGCCAGAAGCTCCATGCAGAGCCTAGAAAATTAGAAGAAATAAGAAATTACTTGTCTGTTTTGCTCTTAGTTATAACCTTTAGTTACTAAATCATACCATTTCTCAGTCTAGAAGTAAATATTTTTCAATGTCATCAAGGTGAATACAAATTGGATTAGTGATCAGGTATTACACACTTGGATTTTCATTTCTTCCACTATACCTGTAGTATTCCACAACTGAAAGTTGATTTGAAAGTATGAAAGTATTTAAATTTCTCTTGATAACCTCAAATTTTAAATGTAAGACTTGGCTAAAGACAGTCATAGCAACTAATGTCTTAAAGCTCCTAACGGCAGCCAGATGGCGCTACATTCTCCATGCTCACTGGATATCATGATACTGAGTCATGCTTGCAAGACGGGGACCTGGCCTTGTTACCTGAAGGTGTTTTCAAGCACCACAGTTGAGTTTGTCCTGCAGATGCTAGCTCTACATCTCAGCTGCTGTCTTCATTCAGGTTACTATTTCTTCAGTGAAACACCATGACTGAAAAGCAAGTTGGGGAGGAAAGGGTTTATTTGGTTTACACTTCCACGTTGTTGTTCATCACCGAAGGAAGTCAGGATAAGAAATCAAACAGGGCAGGATTCCGGAGAACAGGAGCTGATGTAGAAGACACGGAGAGGAGCTTTTTACTGGCTTTCTTCACAGGGATTGCTCAGCCTGCTTTCTTATAGAACCCAGGGCCACCAGCCTGTGAATGGCACCACCCACAGTGGGCTGGACCCTCCCCCAGTGATCTCTACTTGAGAAAATGCCTTACAGCGGGATCTCATGGAGGCATCTCCTCAACTGAGGCTCCTTCCTCTCTAATGACTCTAGCTTGTGTCAAGTTGACACAGAACCAGCCAGTACAATTGGTATGGTCAGTGGATTGTTCTTTCATGCCACTGTTTGTTCTAGCTTAGAAAAGTGACAACACTTTTATCAAACACCATTCAGAAAGGACTGGGTTTCCCTGAAGCCCACACTATGATGCTGTTCAAAGAGAGTAGGCACGTCCTCCAGTTTAGGGTCTGGCTGTGGTAGTTTTATTTTTAAGTTTCTGCATGTGTAGAGACATGGAATACAAAGGTACTTTTCTGGATGCACGTCTGATTAATCCGCTTCATGGCCCAGGACACAGGCTCTGAAGTAGGTGGGCTCCAAGTTCCAGTCCTGTCTTCCCACACAGCCCTTCCCCAGGATGAAGTTTCTCAGGTCACTGAGCTTTGGTTTTCTAAGCTGTAAAATGAAGAAAAGATAACATCTAACTTTCGGAAAGCATCACTGTAATTTGACAGCAAACCATCTGGTATATTTTCTCCCAACTTAAATATAAGGAATAAATTAAATAATGAACGCTGCATTGCCTGGAGTAGATGTGCTGAGTAAAGTCTCTCTCCCACTCCACCCACACTTTGTGAACATTTTAAAGCATATGGCGCAGATAACTGAGCCTCTGTTGCCATAGAATGTTATTGGAACCAACTTATGAAAGAAAAATGGTAACTTTGAGAATATCCAGTGTTTCTCAATTACTAAAACAATATGGATGGGAGAAAATAATTATTAACTCTTGGGTCTATTTTTAAAAAGAATAAAAAGTTTAAAAGAGGACATGAAGTTGGGGTCCTGGTGTAAACTCCAGCAGGGGAGGGAGGAGCAGATATGATAAAGGAACATTGTATACATGTGTGAAATTCCTAAAGAATAAATAATGTTTAAATGTACTCAATTTTGTTTAATTATTGTGAGGAAATATACCTCACTCAAACTAAACCAAACTGTGTGGTGGCACACACCTTTAATCCCTACCACTAGGAGGCAGAGGCAGGTGGGTCTCTAAGTTCAAGACCAGCTTGGTCTACATGGTGAGTTCTAGGCCAGCCACACCTACATAGTGAGACTGTCTCTAACAAAACCACAACTAAGCAAAACAAAACCCGTTTAAAATAGTAGAAATAGATTTTCCAAATGTATTGCTTTGTGGCTCATACACTGTCTAATTTCAAAGAGAGCTCATAAAGCTTCTTGACATGTTTTTGGGAATCACTGAATTGGGATTTGTCAGGTAATAAACACTTTGCCAGGTAACAAAAGTAACTCAACTGCACGTTCTTCCTACCTTTCCTGCATTTGTTCCGAGCGTGGGCAGTATGATGGCCGTGTGTGTCTGTGTGGTGTGTCTGTGTGGTGTGTCTGTGTGGTGTGTCTGTGTGTGTGTGTCTCTGTGTGTGTCTCTGTGTGTGTATCTCTGTCTGTGTCTGTGTGTGTGTGTCTGTCTGTGTCTGTCTCTGTCTGTGTCTGTGCGTGTCTGTCTCTGTCTGTGTCTGTGCGTGTCTGTCTCTGTCTGTGTGTGTGTGTCTCTGTCTGTGTCTGTCTCTGTCTGTGTCTGTGCGCGTGTCTGTCTCTGTCTGTGTCTGTGTCTGTGTCTGTGTGCCTGTCTGTCTCTGTGTCTGTGTCTGTGTGCCTGTCTGTCTCTGTCTGTGTCTGTGTCTGTGTGCCTGTCTGTGTGTTGACTGGCAGGTGAAACTGGTGTCTCCTTGATTCCTGAGTTGTTCATGTTCCTCAGCAGGCTGAGTTTTGCTGCCCCCTGTTTGTGAGTATCTGAACTCTTCTCTCAGTCTTTCACTTTTCTGTTTATTGGCCCTTGAGGATGAAATCTCTGACTTCTTAGGACATGGAATTAGGACACTGCTTTTTAGTCCCTGGACTTTTAAAGTGTGTGAGTGCATTTCAGGCTATTTGCCAGGGAAGTGAACCATATTTCCTGGTGGTCTGATTCAACCACAGATCAAGCTCACTCCAAGTGTCCAAAGGATTTATACTCAGACAGCTTATCAGTACAGGCATATTCCAGGATTATGGAGTTAGCAAATACGAGTAAAGGCTACTTTTAAAGGTCAGTGTGTCTAGATTAATGGAGATTAACCACACCTAATATATGTACCTTACCTAGATCATGGTTTAATGGGGAATGTAACAAATTTCTTGATGTGTGAAAGATTTTTGCTTATGAGTTACGATGTTGCTATGACTAAATGTGATAAAAGCATTGTGATTCTCTGGACATTTCCTCCTCTTAGGAGATCTATATGCATTTAGGGTTAAAGTGTCAAGAGTGTCTGAAGCTTTTATATTGTTGAAAGCCAACAAATGTAAATGCTATGATGAACTAGCTGGCAGAATGAAAACAGCTGGTAGCTCTAGGAAGAAAACACACATGTGCTCATGGTACAGTTTTTAATTGCTACATCTAAAACAGTCATGGTAGATTTTGGAAAATAAATGCATTTTAATTTGTATAATAGTACTGGGGATGCAACTCGGGGACTAATCTGTGCTGGGCAAACTGTTCTACCATTGAGCCACACTGTCAGCTCCTGGAATGAAAAATTAAAACACAGAATCTCAGTTTTCCAATTAGCATGATTGTTTCTCTGCTTCTATGCCGTTTAATGGAAATAGTCTCATATTGATGTGAGCTCTTCTTCACATCAGATTGTGATGTTCCAAGAGACCTAGCTGTGGGTTTTTTGAAGGTCTTATTTTTATCACATACTCTGCCCCCCCCACACACACCCTGTGTTGAATATATTAAGTGCCCACTTGGTGGTGCTAGGCCTTTGATAGGAATGGGAAGATATAAGACATACTATTAGAAATAGGCCTCACGTAGGCCTGGGGTGGAGGTCATTAGACTGCTTGTAGCACTTGTGAAGACTTGTGCTTAAACTCAATGCTGGGATTCAGGGGAAGCCTCAGGAGATAGTTTCCCCTCAGTCTGGGGAAGCCTCAGAAGATAGTTTCCCCTCCGTCTGGGGTTTTGTTTTCTGTGCTTTGTTGCCCTGTTTACTGAGTTCAGAAGATATTAAGTGGAAAATATCAGAAGTAAACTGTGCTGGCTAGTTTTATGTCAACTTGACATAAGGTAGAGTAACTTGGAGAGGAGGGAGCCTAGATTGAGAAAATGCCTCCATAAGATTGGGCTGTAGGGCCAGATGGTGTTGGCTCATGCCCTTAATCCCAACACTTGGGAGGTAAAGACAGTTATATCTGAGTGTGAGGCTGGCGTAGTCTACAGAGTGAGTTCCAGGACAGCCAGGGCAACCTGGAACAGAGGAACCCTTTCTTGAAAAACCAAAGGGTGGGGGTAGGGGGGCGGGAATCAGAGACAGGCAAACCTGTAAAGCATTTTCTTAGTGGTATGGGAAGGCCCAGCCCACCGTGGGTGGGACCACCCCTGGGCATGTGGTCCTGCGTTCTATAAGAAAGCAGGCTGAGCGAGCCAGTAAGTAGTGCCTCTCCGTGGCCTCTGCATCAGCTCCTTCCTCCAGGTTCTTGCCTTGTTTGAGTTCTTGCCCTGACTTCCTTCAATGATAAACAGTGATATGGAAGTGTAAGCTGAATAAAACCCTTTCCTCCCCAACTTGCTTTTGGTTAGGGTGTTTCATCACAGCAATAGCAACCCTAACTAAGGCATAAACAATAGATTTTCAATAACTTTTGTTATGGACTTACTTGGAAGCTTTTATCAATCCTTTGTACGCTTTGGAACTATCTATGGTTTTAGATAGCTGGGATTTTGGAAGGAATCCTCTGAGGGAAAGAGGAAATGATTACAATGAAATAGAAGTCTCTGGCAGGATACTATAGCACTGTACACAGGCGGGAATGTGGGCGTGGCAGATTCCTCAGCCAGCAGGTGTGTGTAGAAGAGGTTCTCTATGAAACAGGGGTTGAACACATTCTTAATGAATTAGTAAGAGTTGCAGCTTGGCTTAACCACTTTCCAAAATCTTACTGCACTCTATCATGCTTATTATGTAATATGCTTCTTATGCTTGCTTGATTTTTCTGTCTGTTCCCTAGATGACAGCAAAGAGCCAAAAGTTCCTAGGCAGAGGTACATTTGATGAATATAAGCAAGGAAGATGGTGTAGTGTGTAAGGGGAGAAATATAAAGTGCTCTGGTTTGAGTTTCAATGCATTAGGAGTCAACTATATCACAGGTTTCTGATTTAGCTTGAAAAAAAGTGGCCATGAGACTGTCTGTCCTGATATGTACACTCCAGTGGACTAGAGTATATTTTCTATTATATTATTTTTTGCATACTAAACCCTGGTCCCCTTCCCTCCCCTCCTCCCGCTCTCCCCACCTACCCCTCACCCCAGCCACCCTTTGCTTCTCAGAGAGGGTAAGGCCTTTCATGGGGAGTCAGCGAAGTCTGTCCCATCACCAGGTTGCAGTAGGACCAAGGCCCTCCCTGCTGTGTATCTAGGCTAAGCAAGGTAACTCTCCATAGGAAATGGGCTCCAAAAAGCCAGTCCATATTCTAGGATAGATCCTGGTCCCACTGCCAGGGGCCCTACAAACTGCCCGAGCCACCCGTTGTCACCTGCATTCAGGGGGTCTAGTTCAGTCCTATTCAAGTTCCCCCAGCTGTCAGTACAGAGTCAATGAGCTCACTACCTTGGGTCAGCTGTTCCTGTGGGTTTTCCTGTCCCAGTCTTGACCCCTTTGCTTGTATTATTGCTCCTCCCTCTCTACAACTGGACTCTGGGAGCTTAGCCCCGTGGTTAGTTGTGGGTCTCTGCATCCGCTTTCATCAGTTACTGAATGAAGGTTCTATGACGACAACTACAGTTGTCCTCAATCTGAATACAGGGGAAAGCCAGTTCACTCACCTTCTCTACTATTGCTGAGAGTTTTATCTGGGGTCATCCTTGTATATTCATGGGAATTTTCCTAGTGCCAGGTTTCTTGATAATCCCATAATGGCTCCCTCTATCAAGAACAATTTTCTTGCCCTCCCTCTCTGTCCTTCCCCCAACTCAACCATCCTGTTCCCTCATGTTCACTCCCCCTCTCCCCATTCCTTTCTCCCCTTTCCCCTCCCACCCTCACTCTGATTTACTCAGGAGATCTTGTCTATTTTCCCTCCCTAGGTGGATTCATGTGTGTCTCATAGTATATTTAATAGAGATAATTCATAACATTTAGGCATTATCATGTCTCTGATTTTCCAAAATTTCAGCCATACTCTACTTTCAAAATGTTGTTCTTTAATATTTAGTTTTATTTTGGAGAAACTGAATTTAAATTCATGTTAATTTTTCACTCTAGGATTGATAATGGAACAAAAGAAATGGTTTAAACCATAAGCTCAGCGAGAATTGGAAACTGGTGGTCATTCACTTTGGTGCTCCCAACATAATACAGAGTGCTTGGCATTTAGCATATGCACTGTAAATACTACTTCTCTGTTCATCCTTTCCTTTCATGGAAACAAGAAATGTGTCCAAGTGGATGGACCCTATGCCCTGAGAGGGCGCTTCCCTGTTGTTGGGATATAGGCTGAACGGCAGGAATTGGGGCACCGGGAGATGAGTCTTGTGGTATCTGTTGAACCTGTGATCTGGAGGTCTAATCTGACCCATATTCAGAACTTTTAGGCTTTGGGGTTGAGGTGAGAGGGATTGGAAGTAGAGTGGAGCCTGGTGTATCCCCGTATTCTAGAAGAGCATGCCGGGGTCCCTGGAAACCAGTTAAGTGGATTTTGTGCAAAGTGCAGACAAAAAAGGAGTTGTGAACTGTGTGGTGGTGGAAGGCTTGATGAACATTAGAACTGACAGGATTTTGAGTCTGGAGGGGTAGGGAGTAGAGAAGGCGGAGGGGTAGGGCCAGCTGAAGGGGAAAGGACACAAATGACCAGGCCATGAAGTGTTGCAGTCTTTCTGAGTTGAGTTTGCACACAATTTGCATACCGGGAGGGTTAACCCTTTAGAGGCTAATGCAACTGGTGGCATCCCAAGACAGTTAAAATTGGAACAGGGAAGGATTTTATTGATTTATTCCAGTTTAGTGCTTGGTCTGATTTAGACTCAGTGGTCAGATGTAACCATTGTTTTCTGGATTGGCCTGAACTGTGTGGTAATGGGAGAGGGGGGTAGTAAAGAACCAATTATCTTGAAAGAGATTATTATTTATTTATTTTTTTAGCTTTTTTTTTTTCTTAGTTCAAATTAGGAACAAGCTTGTTTCACATGTCAATCCCTTCTCCCTCTCCCTCCCCTCACCCTCATCCCTCCTACCCCACCCCAACCTACCCCCCACTCCCCAGGCAGGGTAGGGCCCTCCACAGGGGCTCCACAAACTCCACCACATCATCCTGGGCTGGGCCTAGGCCCTTCCCCACGTGTCCAGGGCAAGAGAGCATCCCTTCACATGAAATGGGCTCTCAAAGTTAGCTTTCAAATCTGAGCCAGGCTGTTTGTATGTAACTCTCTGCCACCTCCTGGTGGCAGAAGATGCACCCAGCAGGAAAAACACAAATGACCAGGCCATGAAGTGTTTAGGTCTTTCTGAGTTGAGTTTGCACACAACTTGCATACCGGGAGGGTTAACCCTTTAGAGGTTAATGCAACTGGTGGCCATCCCAAGACCGTTAAAATTGGAACAGGGAAGGATTTTATTGATTTATTCCATTTGACCTGTTAGCAAAAGATTTAGTAAGTTTTGGTTTTGAGTCTCATTACTTTTAAAAATTAGCATGAACCTTTGTTTTTAGTGTTTTCATTTCTAAATGACTCCAGGGTCATTTTCTAACCTTATTCAATGCAGTGTTGGCCACTTACTGAGTAGTAACAAACAGCAAATTGATTAGGACAGCCTTTCTTCTTTATTATAGAATGTGTGTATTTCTCTTGTCAACATCTCTGTTATAATTTTCTAGAGCATATATTGCCCATGCAAGAGGTTAGTTCTCCCTTTGTCTGTTTGTTATTTTCTGTATGTCACTCATCAAAGTGGCATTTTTATTTACTTTTGAAAGCAAATGTTCTGACTGGTGTGCCATTTATTTGTGGCTTTTAACTTAAGGAAACCTTTCTTCTTTTAGATAAGCTACGAAGAAGTATGCCTAACCTAGCCCGAACGCCAAGCACTCCTGCAGTCGGCAGCAACCTCAGCTCTCCCATGACCGTGAGGAGCAGTCAGAGTTTCGACTCAAGCTTGCATGGAGCTGGAAGTGGGGTTTCAAGGGTGCCATCCTGCAGTGAGTATGACAGAGTGATAGCTCTGATTAGTCAAAATAACTTATTTTTCCATCCTTTTCTTTTTCCTTTCGCACTTAGGCACACCAGAGGAGGCTTTTCTGTCTTGTAGTATAGTTTTCACTATAATCAAGTAGTATTTCTTTCAGTGCCCATGTTACCAGCTGCTACTCCTAGTAAATTGTAGGGGCCCTCCACACCCAAGGCTACAGCAGGCATGCTAAATAATCGATAGTTTGCCCATTATACAAACCTCTTACCCATGCAGGTTCTCTTCTTTCTTTCTGTTGGTCTGTTTTCCTATGGAGAAGCACACTGGTTTGGTCTAGCTGTTACTTTGGTCATATTTTTCACCATTTCCCTCTGCAGATGAAGTTATATTTTAGTGTGTGTAGGGTTCTTTGTATCTGCATTCCTGTGTACCACATGGTCCTTGCACTCTCACTTTCCATCCATCTTCCCATCAATGAGCGATATACCGTTAACCCTACTGGGTGCTTTCAGCTCCTGTGGGGATGCCGTGGTTCCAGGTATTTGTCCCATACCTACATCGGAAGGGGTTGAGTCTTACAATGACACTAGGAGGAAGACTGTAGGCCAGTATTCACATGTCTGTAAGATGTCCATACCTGCATAGGAGGGGTTGGGTCTTACAGTGACACCAGGAGGAAGACTGTAGGCCACTATTCACTTGTCCGTAAGATCCACATGTCCGTAAGAGGGTGCCAGATGTGCGGGCTAGGAGTTTGCATCTCCGAGTAGTTTTTAGACCCTCCTCCCTGAAGCCCAGGTTTGGTTACCAGTTTATTTCCCGGCATGTCTTTTATTTCTCGATGTCCTAGTTCCTAATACCAAAATGACTGCATTTGTTCTGTGTAAGGAGCTGTGCTTGCTGGGTTTCAGATATTATCTTTCTTAGTCTTGCAATAGCTCTATGAGGTTGTTTCTGTTACCATTGCCATTTTGGTGATGAGAGACAGTTTCAAATTGGTGAAGCAACAATTTGGAGGGTGGGCAAGCCGGAAGTACAGAGTCAAACATGGGTCTGCTGGAACTTACGCTCTCAGCTACCGTGATGCTCTGCTCCCATGGGCTGCTGTCCTCTTTGTATTTCTTGTGTTTTTCTTCATAGTTTAACCTGTCCTTTGGCAAGTCCTTATTGCTTTACTGGTGATCCTAATGCAAGCTCCTGAATACTATAGAACCAGGATGGACCAGGTTGAACTTCTGCAACCTGAGATCAAGATAAAAAAATCCCAAGATCTGAAACTTTTGAAGGCTGTGTGATATCTCAATACCTGATACCTGTGGAAAACTCTATACTTTGAAACTGTTTCATATAAAAATATATTTACAATGTTGGATAGAATTATCATTAAGTTGTGTGTGCATAAATAAATCTTGTGTTTACACTTTGGTTCATCAGCAGTATGAGAGCATTTCTGTTGCTGTTCCTGAGGGAGGTGATTTAAAAGGAAGAAAGATGATGTGTTTGGTTTACATTTAAGATGGGCTTTTTGATCCATGGCTGGTGGCTGAATTGCTTTTGTGCCTGAGATAAGGGAGACATTATGGAATGTGTGGAGAAGGTGGCTACTCAGTTTCTGGTGGCAAGGCTGGGAGAGGTCACACCCCTTAAGTGATTTATCCCATGACCCTCTTCTTCCATCTACAAGTCCTAAATTTTCTGTCACTCTCAAAACAGTGACCAAGTCTCCACACGTGTGCGTGACCTTTCATATTCCAACTGTAGCATTTTGCTCCTGGCCAGCTCTTGTCCATCTGGTAATGCAAAAGGAATTGAATCTATCTCCATGAATTCCCACAATCTTGACAGTTCCTGCAGTGATCAAAACACATCAGGGGAGAATAGGGTCAGAAAGGAGTAAATGGGCCAAGGCGAGGTTGAGTCCCAGCAAGGTTAGCACCTGCTGCTACAGTGTCAAGCACCCTGACATGTGATGCCATAATGTGAGCGCCAGGGCTCTGGGGTAGTCACACCTATGGTTTTGCTGCTCACAGACGGTATGGCTTCTTCCTGCACTAGCTTTTTTCATTCCCTGCATCTTTCCTTGGCAAATGTCCCATGTTTATGCCTTTGTAATTCTTGAAGTCTCAACTACAAGGCTTCTGGCCCTCCCACACACCACTGCCCAGTCTGTCTCCTTCACTGTCCTTTGAGTGCTTCAACAGAGGCCCTGTGGACCTGTCACTCTTGCCTTCTGCTTACCCACAAACCATCACATGAATGACTCCGGGGTCTCCTAGCCAGCTCAAGAAGTTGCTGAGCTCTTTTGGATCATGGCTGCAGTGGTCTGATTGTCTCAGAAGAGTCTCCATTCCCATCTGCTCCACCAAGAACACAGTCTTTTCTGTTTTCATGTCCAGTTGGCCTTCTGGTCTTCTGGATTACTGTGAGAATCATTAAGTGCAAAGTTGTTTTTGTTTTGTGTTTTACCTGCTTCTCTAAACATCTTCCAAATTCACAAACTCTTCCTGCAAGCCAATTGCAAAGTCTTAGGGAACCACAAAGTCTCAGGGTCAGAGCAGTCACCCTGCTTTCAATATTTTGTTAGATTTTTGACCATTGTTGCAAATAGCCAAGTGAAGCCATCTAAAGGGAAGGCAAGTTGATTTTGGTTCAGTATTGGATGTGTCAGTCCATGGCTGAGTGGATGTGTTGCTCTGGGTCTGCGGTAGAGCAGATGTCATCCTGATGAGAGCAGGTAGAGGGGGTAGTTGGTAGCCAAAAAAGGAGTGAAACGGGAAAGGCCTAGAGACAAGGTGTGTCTAACTAGGATATGACCAATGACCTGCTTCCTTCAGGTAGGCTCCACCGCTTAATATTTCCACGACCTCTCAGAACAAGGCCACCAGCTAGGAACTAAGGCTTCCACACATGAACTGCCTGTATGGGGCATTTTATGAGCAAAACACTAATACAAAAGAGATGTCTATGTGTATGCAAATGTTCTTGAGTTTGAGGGGCTGGAGAGGTGGCTAAGTGATAACTGGCTGTTCTTTCAGAGCACCCGGGTTTGTTCCCAGCAGCCACACTGTAGCTCACAAGCTTCTGTGACTCTAGTTTCAGGGGATCTGATGCCCTCTTTTGGACTCTTGGATACTTGGCAAACCCAGACATGCATTCAGTCCAAACACCCATGTGATAGATAGGTGACGGGCAGTTGGATAGATAGATGATAGATAGGTAGTTGGACAGATAGATAATAGATGACAGATGATAGGTAGTTTGATAGATGATAGATAATAGATGACAGATGATAGGTAGTTTGATAGATGATAGATAATAGATGACAGATGATAGGTAGTTTGATAGATGATAGATAGATAGATAGATAATAGAAGATAGATAGATGCTTCTCAAAATTTGAAAACATCCCAACTCTAATGGCTGTTTCCACGCATTTCAGATAGAGAGTGCTCAACCTATGTCGTTATTCATTGTTAGTATATTTTACCAGGTTGTGAACTCTTCTGAACTTGGACCTTAGTTTATTTGATTTTCTGTTCCCAGTACTTGACATGTTACCTGCACACAATGAACTCACAGTGAATGACAGCGAAATGAAGATGAGCTGAGGAAGGAATGCGTGCGATAGATACACAGAGCTGTGGCTCGGGGCCAACCTGTTAAATAGTTAAATCAGGGAAGTGTCTGGTCGAGGCAGGGACAGTTTACTATTGATGTGAACAGAGAGGACTGTTAACTACATGTCATTTTTTAAAAATACCTTAACTTTTTTTTTTAAAAGATTTTATTTACTTATTTATTATGTATACAACATTCTGCTTCAATATACATCTGCACACCAGAAGAGGGCACCAGATCTTATAACAGATGGTTGTGAGCCACCATGTGGTTGCTGGGAATTAAACTCAGGACCTCTGGAAGAGCAGTCGGAACTCTTTTTTTTTTTTTTTTCCATTCATTTATTTAGCTCATAAAGTCATGCACAATGATACAGAATACAGTATGTTCACAATGGCATGGCTAAATTAAACCAATTAACATGTTATATCACACATATTCATCATTTTTGTTTTGAGAACACTTAAAGTACACTATCTCACAACTTTTAAAATATAGCATATTCTTATCAACCATATTTATCATGCTCTCAGTAGACCTCAAGACTTCACAGAGCCCATGCCGCTTGTCCAACTGCAGTTTTATATCCTTAAACCAATCATTTCCCCATTGTTAAAAACCCACATTGAAGCCTAATAGCCACAATTCTGCTCTCTGTTCCCATAAATTCATCATTTCTAGGTTACACATAAAATGAAATTGTGTGACATTTGTCTACATGTCATTTTTTAAGGCAGCATGCTAATTATATCATGAAGAAATGTAGCTGAGAAAAAATAAATTCTATGTTTGAGTTATGAAGATCAACAGTGTAAGTGTAGGGTGGGAGAAAATGTTTTGACATTAACAAGCATGGGATCCATTAGAAATGTTGTTGACTATAACTCAGTGTGGGCAGTAGCATCTTTGAGTGTCATAAAAATTAATAAAACCCAAAATAGGATGAAGTGTACATGGCTGAGAATGTCCAGCTTTAAAAAAGTCAAAAGCTGATGAGAATATGTTGGAAGGATGCAAGAACCAATTTTAAGAAATGGCCTATAGCCAGAGCTGAGGCCATTTGAACCACAGAATAATTAACTAATAATAATAATAATAGTAATAATGCTGATGATAATAATATATAATTATTATAATTGATAGCACCATATAATTCTGGGTCCATGCTTAAACAAATAAATTTCGGATGGATGGGGGATTTTTTTATATTAGGGTCCTATTTTGCATATGCAAAGAATTGAAGAAAACAGACACAAAAGGAACGTAGGATGTGATGCCAATGTCTGACTGGCCAGAGTATGATGACAGAAGAGGGACTATGTTGTCGTTGGAGGTGTTTTCCCTGGGAGGCGGTGTGTAGCAGTCTGAGGAGTTAGCCAGGCTACACATCTTGAGATGGGCAGTGCAGGAACATGGGCCCTCTAGAAAGTCATCCGCATGTGCGCTTAAGGTTTATTATATTTAAGACGTCAAACGATGCTGAGCCAGATTCACACCTTGAACTGTAGGGTTCTTTTTTTTGATTTGTTTGTTTTTTGTTTTTCAAGGCAGGGTTTCTCTGTGTAGCTTTGCAGCCTGTCCTGGAACTGGCTCTGTAGACCAGGCTGGCCTCGAACTCACAGAGATCTGCCTGCCTCTGCCTCCCGAGTACTGCGATTAAAGGTGTGTGCCACCAATGCCTGGCATTGATCTGTGTTTTAACCGATTTTTTTCCATTTACAATTAACTTTTGCATTAAGACAAAACTGTGCCTCTTCATCCTTAGAGAAAGTACAAATATTTTTGCCTATTTATTGCTGTTGACTATAAAATGATGTTCAGTGTTGATAAACATTTAAGACTTGTTACTCAGTTTGCCTTCTTCTTTTTACAGATTTTTACCACTATTATCAAGGTCAAAATAGTGCTTTTTTAATTGAGTGGTTACTAAGGACTTTAGGTACTAAGGCTTTTTAAGTAGATTAATGTATTTAATTTTCAAATAAACCTTGAGATAATGTCATAAAGAATGCTATTTAAGGAATATGTTTGTGCCTACAAACATCACTCCCGGCTTCCTCTATAGTTGCAGCTAGTAAACTGTCCCCATGTTTTCATGAGGCTGTCCTCAGATCAACTATCAAGAAATGCTAATGGGGTCTGGAGAGGTGGCTCAGTTGTTGCAGGCACTTCTGGCTCTTCTAGAAGACTCTTGAGTTTGCTCCCTGGCATCTACATTAGGTGGCTTACAACCGTACACACACACACACACACACACACACACACACACACACACACACACACACACCCCAAAATAGATAAAATAAAAAAATTAATCTTAAAAGAAATCCTAATACTTTCTAAGCAAACACAAATTTGTCTTGGAACAATTCAGAGTTTCTGAAAATTTCAAAGGGGAAAAGCATAGTGCATAGGATTGCCTTGGGAGGAGGGGTGGGAGGGAGAACTGTGCTTGGAATGTAAAATAAAATAAAAAATTTAAAAAATGGAAAACACAAGAATTGCCTTCTGGATATTCAGTTGACCACTGAGCAGCACAGGTTTGATCTGAGAAGGTCTTCTTATACCTTTTTTTTTTTTTTTTTTTTTGTGAGAATTTCGTGACAAAACTTGCAGGTAAATCTTGCAACTTAGAAAAATTGAGAAAGTTGAAAAGAATATGTAATTAATGCCTAAAATAATGATGGATGGTATTCTATTTTTATTATTTAATACCATAAATATTTTCAAATCTGTTATAAACAGCTGAAGTCATAATTTGTATGCAGACTTATAGATCATACACAACCCCATATGCCAGGGAAATACAAACAATACAGAGACACCATGTGAATCCTAATTTAAATATAATCTGACAATGTTAATTGATAAGGCTTTGGGCCAAGGGGGAATACTGACGTAAACTTAGGGAAATCACACGTTATTTGCCCCCCATGCTCTTCACGGGTCATCTGTATGTAGGCATAGTGTTGCTGGCACACAGAATGGGGGACCATCGTCGGGGATTTTCCCTGACATATATGTGCTTACAACCTGTCCATCATTTACTCCAGACAACGCAGCCTCCTCTGAGTGTAAAGCACGTCTAATTGGGAGGCACTTGAGAGTTCTTCACACAGGTATCATTTTCTCCGGCAGTCCCATCACCAGGACAGATTCAACACAGAGTTCACAGTGTGGGGCATTTCCCGGTGCCTGTGCGGCAGCCTCTGAAAGCCACAGCCTACGTGAGTCCAACGGTTCAAGGCGGCGGCAGCAGTGGCGGCAGCAGCAGCAGCAGCAGCAGCATTCCTTTATCCAATGGCCTGCAGCTCTACGGCAACACTGGAATCCCTACTCCCAACAAAGCTGCAGCTTCTGGGATCATGGGCCGCAGTGCCCTTCCAAGACCTTCACTGGCAATAAATGGGAGCAACCTGCCTCGGAGCAAAATTGCACAACCTGTCAGAAGGTAAGAAGAACTTCAGGTGCAGTTTATTTAGTTGATACCTTTGCTTGTACTCGGACGTCCAAATGTATTCAGGTCGGTCTCGCTTTTCTCGGGCTGAGTTTAATGGTTCACCTTGGGTTCCTCTTTCTCAATTAGGTGTGGCCAGATCCCCCTTTCTCTTATTTCATCCTTGTGTGGCTAGATTCCTTCCTCCTTCAGGTCTGTTCTGACTTTGGCACCTCTGTCCAAGCTTTGAAACATCTTAATTTTACTCAAGAACTTGGCCAGTTTGTATTGGTAAGTTCCAGATGGCCCAGGCAAACTTTTTTTCTCAGCTTAAAGGTGTCAGGTTCCTTATAAGGGTACATCTTAGATAAGGGCAGCAATAGTAAGTCATGACCTATTTTCCTTGGTAAATGCAGAGACATGCCATGTTTATGGCTAGACAAAATTATGACATATATGTTCATTATTGGGGAACCTTCCATTTTTTTTTCTTAAATATATATCTTGAAGGAGGAAGATTGCTATTGTCAGAACGTATGAGGGAGTCTGTTTTCCTCAAACCCGAGAAAACACTGGGTTTTTCAAAATTATTTTTTCAGTATTTTTCAAATTCTTTGCTACCTCGATAGAATAATCTTTATTTAAAGTGCTAAGAATTTGTACATATGTTTATATATCTAATCAAGTTGCCTTATGTTTTTAACTATTTTTCTGTTAAGGACCTTACCTTTTACTTTGTATCTTAAAATGGTTTGACATATTGAAAATTAACTTGTGCACATGGGGACACATGGGCTCTGTGCTCTGGCCTCAGGCTCCAGCAGATGGGTGTACACTGTGAGAACCCAGAAGGCTGTAACTTGATGGGAGAGCACTGATGGGACAGGGCGTGCTGAGGGCCACCGGATTGCTAACGGGCCGTTTGCTTTCTTCATCTCTTCATAGCTTCCTGCAGCCCCCAAAGCCCCTGTCTTCACTCAGCACACTGAGGGATGGGAACTGGAGAGATGGTTGCTACTGATGCAGTTTTATGGACCCTTGAAGAATGAGAAAGAAGTGAAAATGAGGGTTGTGTTACCCAGCTGGCTGGGTAGCATTGGATGCTGGGATATTCTTTCCCTTTCACATTTTAACACGTGTACTGCATTGTTTTCCAGTGGACCAATCACCAGAGACTAACGATTGCACTTCCTCTCTGCCTGAGATGCTGCAGCATTCTCAAACCCATGGTCTGGTCGCAGCATTGTTCCACTTAGATCTAGGAAGTTTTTGTATACCTGTTCTGTACCTGAATCCTATTTGAGAGAACTGAGGCGTATCAATGATGCTTTGCCATATGAGGGTTTTAAAGTACCTTGTTCATTTTACTCACCTGTTCTAAACATCTTTCCATTACATGTTCTGCGTTTTAAAACATGCATATTTACAGCTAGGTTCTATAACATGGTTTGAATTTTAATTTTTTTTTATAGTTTACAGGAATTTTATTTTTTTGTGCCTATTTCTTTTTATGCCTATGTGAACCACTATGGAACAACTTAAATTTTGTGCCATAAAAATATTTTTGTGGTAAGGTACTATTTTTTTAGCTCTAGGGGATATATCAGCAAAGATACACCATACAATTTGAGACATAATTTTACGTTGATGAGCACAATTTAACCTAAAGCATTGCAAGGAGACTGCCAGACGGCAGAGTTAAACGGTCTTGTCTTTTTCATTGTTAATTTATTGTCTTACATGAGTTTCATATTTATGATATCACAAGCACATTGCACTTAAGACCTGCAATGTTTGCTACTCAACCACAATTGATTTTCAATCCTTTATTACAAAGGATGAAACTGTAATGTTTTATTAACAGTGCTTCTGGAAATGAATGCATTTTAAAGCAAATAAATCTTTTTGATAGACCTTTTACAAAACCCATTTGCACTAATGAATGCTTTCTTACGGTCTGTGACTTACTATTTGTTACTGTGTACATGGCTGTTTTGGAATGTTGAGAAATAAAGACTCTATTTCAGCAATATCAGTCATGAGACGTTTCAGCCAAGGTTTAAAGAAGGCATATAGTTTATTCACTCACTTTTAATGTTCTTTTGTGCAGTTCTGCATAGAGTTCAAAGGGCTTTTAAAAATAAGGGTCACCAAAAATGAAGAGTGGGTGCATGGAGATGGATATAAAAGTGGAAATAATAATTATCAAAAATGTCTTTCATGATAACAGCCATGTTAAGTGTTTTGTGTACATCGGTTGAATTCTATACCTAACAGTCACCCACTGTTACTCCCACTGTAAAGATGAAGATCCTGAATCCCAGAGAGGTGATAAAAAAAGAAAAGGTCAAAAATGGTTGGCCTTTGAGAGCATTTGGCACAAACCAAATTTTGTTCATGTCCTTCTAACTCAGAAGTCTTTTCTTCACTACATGTTCTTTGCTGTGAACGTGTGTAGTTAACAAATGTATACGTACATGTACCATATACATGATATTTATTAATATATTCCACCCTGAAGAAGTTAAAGGATTCAATTGGCTCTCAGTTTGGCTGTTTATACTTTTTAAGTGCTAGCTCCTTTTGTGGATTAGAAGGGAAGGTCTCTTCATCTTGGATTTTATACTCTTGTTCTTAAACAGAGAGTGTAAAACCTTAAATAAGTTAGCAAACCATAGTGTGCTCCATCCTGAGAGCCATGGAGGGAAAGGAGCTGTGGGTGGGGACGCAAGAGAGCACAGGCCTCCTACAAACCACACTCAAAGGGGCAGCTGGACAGATGTTGGTCTGAGCTGCACTGGACAGGAACTGAGAGTCAGTCCCAGAGACTCGTGACTTTTTTAACTGGGAAATTCTGCATGTTTCACTGTAGGATACACATAAGTACAGTCGAATCACAGGAAACAACTTAAAACACAGTAGTCCACCATAGGTAAGTGGGTGGTGGTCATTAGACTGTGGTCCCCACACCAGGTGAAGTGTCGTTGGGGGATTTGGAGAACAGGGATGAAGCCGTGGGGATGAAGTCAGGAAGGTGACGTACAGGGCCAGGTAGGGCGCAGTAGGCCATAATGCAGACTTTTTTATGTTCCTCGGAAGAAGCTGTTTCCTGATCTTGGGAAGGAAGCTATCTTGACTGACCATGACTGGCATTTGTGGAGGATGGATGACAGTAGGAGCCTAATTGTGGACACCAGCAAGGTAAAAGAAGAGGCCTGGCCTTCAAAGGGGCATGCTATCACTTTTTCGGTCAATTCATGAGAAGCTTGTCACTAGGTCCATTCAAGAGGAAGAAGTTACACAAGAATTGCAAGTACAAGGAGATAAGAATTGTGAAGGTCCTGTAGGAGCTGTAAAAACATTTCTATGGCCATCACCAGATACGTGTGCATCTAATGTACAAAAGGGGTACAGTCCTGTGTTTTTCCAGTAGCATGCCTGGATTCCAATTGTCCCAAGGTTGTTGGCATTGCTTGCTAGCCTTCAGTGTGTACATTGCAGGGGTCTCAGTGCCTCTGTGGTTCCTGGGTTGCTAGTGAGATTACATATCCTTTTATTTTCATTCATTTATTGAACACACAGAATCATTTATAGATTCCTGTTGAGACCTATTTTTCTATGAGAGTTTTTAAATTGGTTTGTAATGTTATTTATATATTTTACTAAGTCATTTTTCATTTACTTAATTTTCTTATAGGGTGGTTTGAGTAGGATTACTCACTCATTTTAATTTTATAAAGTTTGTCATATTGTTGGGTTTTTGTTTTGCTTTTTACAATTTAAAAAAAATTGTTTTTCAAGTTTGTGTGTGAGAGAGAGAGAATAATAGAATAGAGAGAGAATGGAGAGATTATATATAGAGAGAGGGAGAGAGGGAGGGATAAAATGTTCCTGAGGAAGCCGGAGACATCAGAGCACCTTTTTGAGCAGTTGTAAGCGATGCACAGCCTGGCATGGCTGCTGGGAACCCGAACTGTGTACTCTGCAAGAGTAGTGCGCTTTAAATATTGAGCTATCTATGCAGCCCTGGCCATGGTGTTTTCAAAAGTTAATCCTCGTGTCTCTTAAAGGAATATACCCTTGTCATGTGATCAATAGAAATATGAAAATAGGTATTCTATATTTTAGAAGTTTTGTTATTGTGTTTTCATTTACAGGTTTATAATCAGCCATGGTTTTTTGTTTGTTTTATTGGTTGGTCCTGGAACTAGCTGCTAGCTTTGTAGACCAGGCTGGCCTTGAACTCAGATCCACCTGCCTCTACCTCCCAAGTGCTGGGATTAAAGGCTTGGGTGATGGCTGTTGTGGAAGCTTGAGTTTGGATTCCCAGCATGCACATAGAAAGCTGGGCCTAGCGACACATCTGTGATCCCTGTGTGAAGGGTCGCATCAAGTCCTTTGCTACCCAGCCGAGCTTAGCTCCAGGTTCAGTGAGATACCCTGACTCAGAAAATAAATCAGAGTGATTACAAAAGACACTGACCTGTGCTCCACATACACCCGCAAGAACACATACATGTACCACACATAGACACACAAGTGCTCAAAGATTATTCATTACTATTTTAAATTTTATCCAATCACAGTATTATAAAAACCTGCCAGAAGGAAATACACCCACACCCAGCTTACTCTTGAGAGTAACACTATTGGGGAGAAATTGATATTTGACTTCTTTTTTTTGCCCTAAGTATCTGGTAAGTCTTGACTTTGCAACCATCAGGCTCATAGTACTGTTCAAGTTAGAGTTTTATAATCTGTGGATATTTAGTCTGCATCCAAGAGCTTTGTGATATGGCCTCCAACAATGATATTTCTGTTTATATATATAGTTGTGCCAACACTATGTGGTTTGAAGTCACGTGACTTTGATGAACACACACACACACACACATATGATATTATCTCTGACAAAATGAACTTGTCATCAATGGAACTTCCTGGTGTCTAATATTTTTTTAAACCTACTCTTCTGATATTAGGTAGATACTTTGTGTGTCTCAGATTCTGTAGAGTGGATATCTTATTTTATTTTTGTTTTAAGATTTACTTTTATTTCATGTGTATGAGTGTTCGCCTGTGCACCATGTGTGAGTCTGGTGCCCATAGAGGCCAATATTTTAAAACCTTATGCTTTCAAACGTTTAGCTGCTGTTTGAAATATTTGCTTGCTTTTTCTTTTTCTTCTTCTTTTTTCTTTTTTTTTCTTTTTTTTTTTTTGAGACAAGATCTCATGGTCTCCTGGGTTGGCCTTAAAGTAATGATTCTCATGTCTTAGCCTCCTCCTAAGTGCTGGGTTTCAGGTGCGAGCTACCATACCAGTCAAACCATTAATTCTTATGTGCAAACAACATGGTTTGGTTTTTGTTTTGACAATGACATCTACAAAAGTCATTGTCATCAGTGTGAACCTGGAAGCCATTCCTTCATGAGGTCATTACTGACAATGTTTGAATTTAAATCTGCCTTAGCTTCCTTTTCTTCTGTTCCCTTTTGTCTCCATTTTAAACATGGGTTGTTTAATCTTAAGATTTTTCTTTCCCATTATCTAGAAATCATATTCTGACTTTCTTCAGTTTGTACCCCCAATGTACCAAAAAAATTACCATTAATCTCTATTCAGCTTTACCATCCTTTTAGGCAATATGAGATTTCCTAGTTTCTTCCATCTAACCTTTGAGTATGCAGTTTAAGTTCCAGTTAGAAATTGGGGAAAGCATCTGTAGATGGTGGCCTTCTTGGGAACTCGGAGAAAACCACTGAAATGACTCAACATTTAAGATAAAGGTGTAGAGAAAGGTCCACGGTGTTGTGATGGAGCCGAGAGGAGAAACAGCCTCTGGTGGGCTCGGCAGGTTTCTCAGGCCACCTCAGTGTAATTGCTTCACATGTTATTCCTATTATGAAGTCTGTGGTGAATTTACCATTGTCCTGCCTGAGCCTCCCCAGTACCTAGGATTCCAGGCGAGCACCTTCACATGTAGCTTGATTATTTAATTTCAAATGAGGTCCCAAGTCCATGCACTGAACAAATATTTATTCAGAGTCTGGGTTTTGTGGTAGATGCTGAGGTTGTAACAGACATAGCTCAGAATAGGAAGCTAAACATGTGTTGGAATTACAGGAGGGTAGTGATTCTGATGGGTTGAGCAGGTTTCTTTTCCTTGTCCCAGCTCCATAACAACTATTCTGTCTACTTCTGCCAGATCATTATTTTTATCCCATATGTCAATGAAGTCAGATACTTGTCTCTTTTCACCGGCAATTTCAATCTCAACATATACCTAAGGAGCTGAAATAAGTACCCCAAATATGCCTGCTGCCCCCTTCCTCCACGGTCATTGCAGCATTGTTTACAATGGCCAAGATGTAGAAATGGCCTAAATGGGAGGAAGCTATCGTGCGTGTACACACACACACACACACACACACACACACACACACACACACACACGGATCCTATTCAGCTTTAGAAAAAAGTGGAATCTGGTCGAACTCAAAGGAAATGACATTAAGTGAAATAAAGCAGACTTTGATGAGAGGTATCTAGTGCCCCCAGGTCATTGGACAGGCCAGGAGTCAGGTTAGGTGTGCCTCTGAGGATGGCTGCCCATGCAGCGTCATAGACCCAGCCTGCCGGGGTATCTGCCAGGGTTAGGAATGACAAGTCTTAAGTTGCTACTGGAGCTATTCTCCACTCATACTGCATCTGCTATGGACCCAGATCATAGCCACATCTGTCCCAGCCCGATCTGCCCCAACCGTGGGTTTCTCCAGCACGGTCTTGACTCCTTTGCTCATCCTTTAATAGAGGGAGTCAGTATAGGTTTAAAGAGAAATCTGGCACTAGGGAAATGTCCAGAGATTCACAAAGATGACCACAACTAAGAATCTAGTCAGTAGTGGAGAGGCCACCTTTGATGCCCTTCGCCTAGAGCCTTTATCCAGTAGCTGATGGAAGCAGAGGCAGACACCCACTGATGGGGAAGTAAGTACTTCTGTGTATATGTCTCTCTTACTGGTTAATGAATAAAACACTGTTGGCCAATAGGGAAGCAAGATGGGCAGGACGAGGAGAGAAGGGTTCTGAGAAATGTAGTAAAGAGAGTCGCCATGTGATCCCAGGAAGAGAGGATGCATAAGACTGGTTTCTTGGTAAGATAAGTCCTTATAAAAATATATAGATTAGTAGTTATGATTGATAATTAAGACTGAGCTAGCAAATAAATCCTAGTCTTTGGCCAGCAGCATTGTCAATAACATAAGACTCTGTGTTATTTGGGGGCCCTACAGCAGCGGCAGAACCCAGGTGGCTGGTGGAAAGAGTTATCGTTACACATCCACAGCTAAGCACAGAGCCACACTCCTGGAATCCAGTTGTAGAGAATGAACGGGGTTTATGTCTATTCCTTTGAGTGGACAACCCTATGTGCTTAACATTCTTGTTTTTTTTCTGGAGATTTGGAGTGCAAGAACCTTCACACTGCACTCCCAACACCAGCCCACTATGGGTGATACTACCCCTGGACAGGTTGTCTTGGAAAGTATGATAGGTAACTGAGACTGAACAGCAAGCCAGTAAACAGGATCCCATCATGGCTTCTGATTCCAGGTGTTGGCCTTGAGTTCTTACCCTGACTTAATGATGATCAATGATAGACTGATGGGAACATGTAAGCCAATTAAACCCTTTCCTCCCCAAGTTGTTTTGGTCCCGGTTTTATATCACAGCACTAGGAAACCAAACTAGGACAGCCCATCCATTGGTAG